TGTGAGCGTTCCAGTGATTCGAAGATGGGGTCACGCGTGGTTCTTCTTGCGGAAACAAGAGGCATCAGTGGCATATCTCACGGAGGCTGAATTGCGGCGCCTCCACACGCGTTTTGGTCATCCATCCGTGTATCGGCTGCACAAGCTGCTGAATTCGGCTGGCCATGATGTGGAAATCGAAGCTCTGGAAATGATCAAGAAGTTCTGCCACTACTGTCAGATGAAATCCGACCCGCCACGAAGGTTCAAGTTCAGCTTGAAGGATGATTGTGACTTCAATTACGAAGTCATCGTTGATGTCATGACATTGGGTGGCAGACCAGTCCTCCATGTTGTTGATCAAGCCACTGCCTATCAGGCAGGAGATTCCTATCAACATGACGGCCAAGGAAACGTGGCTCGCGTTGAAACAATGTTGGATGGATACATACCTTGGACCACCCGATGTGATCACTCATGACGCAGGCACGAATTTCGCTGCTGCCGAGTTCCAAGCAGAAGCGAAATTGATGGGAATAACGTGTCATCAGGTGCCTGTGGAAGCACATTGGGCTGTTGGGAAGGTTGAGAAGTATCATGTGCCCGTCCGAAGAGCATATGATATATTAAAGGCAGAGCTGAAGGATACCGTGAGCCCTGATCAAGTCCTTCAAATGGCTTTCAAGGCTGTCAACGACACAGCCGGTCCGGATGGCCTCGTTCCAACCCTCCTCGTCTTCGGTGCTCTGCCTCGAATGACGATGGATTCGCCGCCTACACCTTCCGCAATGGCAAGAGCTAAGGCGGTGTGGCGAACGATGTCAGAGCTGAGGAAGATCAACGCCCAGAGGAAGGTTCAGACCGCGTTAAATACGCGTAATGGGCCTGATACAGCGTTGCGCCTGCCCCTATCCCTGGCGCTAGGAAGCGAAGTTCGCGTATTTCGCGAGAAGCACGGATGGCAAGGCCCATATAAAGTGCTCGAGGTGACGGATACGGAAATCGCAGTTGACCTGGACAACGGACCAGCGAAATTTCGCAGTACATGCGTCCAACCGTACTATCGTCACCGGAATCGCTCCTTCCTCAGTTGCAACCCGACCCTAGCCCTAGCCGCACAGACCCATCAACACAACAATCACTCCTTCCCTCAACACAATCCGATCAACAACATCCTCTTCAAAACCCTCTTCCCCTTCCACCCACAACTCAACAACCTCTTCCTCTTCCTACCACAGAAGACCAACCCAAACCTTTCGAATACCCTGAGCCAAAGAGGCCGCGCAGGCGTGGCCGACCTAGGAAGGATGCTGCACAAAATGGCACATCAGAATCCACTATTGTTTGCTCACCCGTTCAATTTATCGTTCATCATGAAGCTAATGCGTTTCTTGTTCGAAAAGAAATGGAACATCTCGGCCTAGCCAAGCGGCTACGAGCTGAAGGAAAGATCACAAGCACCGGTTTCCCATTTGAAGCTTCCGACACACTCGAGCTCACGAACCTCCTCGCCGCTGGGGTCATTGTACCCGAAGAATTCGATGCGAATAAACATGGTGGATATCGTGTCTTCAAATCACGAATGGTCAGAGAGGTTAAGGGAAGAAATACTGCAACGCCATACGAGAAATCACGCCTCGTTGTGCAAGGATACAATGATGATGGGAAACGTGGGATCCTCACACAAGCCCCTACCATCAGCCGGCCCGCACAACGCGTGGCCTTGGCCTTAGCACCGTTTCTCTGCACACGGGATATGTTCATCATGATCAGAGACATCACGATGGCATACACACAATCCCAGACCAAGCTGGCCCGTGTCATCCTTGCAGCCCTTCCTCAAGAACTCAAAGAAGATATCCAGAGGAACAATCCTGCGAATCGTGAAGCCGCTATATGGCATCGCAGAGGCAGGAGCCCACTGGTTCAACACATATCACGACCATCACTGCCGCAAGCTTAATATGGAAACCTCTTCGTTTGACCCGTGCCTTCTGATCACGGCAAACAACATCGCCGACAAGGACCTGTTTGGCATCGCGGCCTTGCAAACGGATGACACATTCATTGTTGGCACAGATGCATTTCTCAAGATCGAGGAGAAAGAACTCTGCTTTAAGGCCAAGCCAAAGAGATTCTCCAAGAAGGTTCCATCTGCGACTTTAACGGCAGCCGCCTGACCATACAAAATGGCTGTGTCATCGTCAGGCAGAAGGGCCAAGCCAAAACCTCGAGGAGATCAATCTTCAGGCATCAAGTAGGCATCAGGATTATGCTGCTCAACGCGCCCGGGGGGCATATATCGCTTCGATTTGCCAACCCGAAGCAACATACGATTGTTCCGTTGCGGCACAAGCCCAAGAGCCCGTTAATACCGACTTCAAGGCTTTGAACAAGCGGATTGAATGGCAGATCAACAATCCCGACCGTGGCCTATGTTACATACCCATCGATCTCGAGAGCGCGAAGATCTTTGTGTTCACCGATGGATCATTCGCCAACAATAAGGATTTAAGCTCTCAAATCGGCTTTGTGATTATCATCGCCAATGAGACCGCGCAATCAACCGATTCATTTTCCATCCGCGGAAACATTCTTCATTGGAGCTCAACTAAATGCAAGCGCGTTACTCGAAGCGTTCTTGCATCAGAGATCTATGGATTGACATCGGGCTTCGATCTCGCATTTGTGATCAAGCAAACGGTCAATACGATCGCACAACGCCTTGATCTGAAGCAAATCCCGCTCGTCATTTGCACAGATTCATATAGCCTCTATGAGTGCCTCGTCAAACTTGGCACCACAACAGAGAAGCGACTCATGATAGATATCATGGCGCTGAGGCAGGCATATGAATCAAGGGATATTGCGGAAATCCGTTGGGTCAACGGCGCAGATAACCCTGCCGATGCTATGACGAAGGCATCACCAAACAGCGCCCTCACGCAGTTTATTAGCGACAATCAGCTAAACGTGAGGGTGGAAGGATTCGTTCATCGCAATAACACAACAATTCTCGACGAGATTTAATCGTTTTTTCGTTCCCTTCTTCTGCTTTACCGTCGTTCTTTTATTCCATTCACATTAACGAGGAGATCCTCGTGTCCATATTCCAACGTGGGACCGATGGAATCAGCTAGCGCATCCGGCGCTCGAAATGCGGCCCATGATGGCGTGTGGCAGAACACACCCAGTGTGGGGAGGAGAGCTACAGTCAGAGCACACTATCCAACATAGTGATGCATCGTGGTAGGAGTTTGTTGGTGTTCTTGTTCGTGTTTTCCTATCTCATCTTAATTCGCTGTGTTTGGTGTGTTTTGGTGGATTGATTAGTGCGCGATCATCGATTTAGAAAGAGGTTCCAGTGTTGGATCCACCTGTGCACTAGGCACCGATCGCGCACGTATAACTAATCGACCGCGCTAGTCACGTGCGAGTAAGAGGTGAGACACAGGGAGGAAGGTCTTTGCACACAGTTTGTATGGGACACGTTTCCCTAGTTACACAAGATATAACCAATTGAACCAGTTCGAATAACCTCACTGCAGTGAAGAGCCTGTCCACACTAGCATAATATGTGCTCACTACGAGCCTCGGTGATGTTAGCGCAGTTTGGTCAAGCTGAACTGCCTCTCTGTAAGGGTGTGTGTTTAAGAGCACAACCAAGGTCAAATGCAACTTCGGAAAGGTAGTTATTTACAACGGGAGAAAGCGATTCCAGGAAAACTCCTAACCCGAGGAACAAATACAAAGCTGAATATGCCCTGGACCTCGTCGCGTATTCTGAATGTGACGCCATGTCACGGAGTCTGCAACGCTCAAGTTGAGCCCCAGCTCTCTGACGGACCTCCGCTTTCCTACCCCGTCGGTCCCTCGGATCCCGTCACGACCTAGCTTTGTTGTCCGGAATCCCCAGCTGGTAACCGCCGGGGAAGCAGACCTAATCCCAATGCAAAGTCGCCGGTTTATACAGGAGTGGCAATCCGTCACCCGCTTTCTCTTGTATGGCTTTCTTACCGATAATCAGAACAAGGGGACAGCAATTTTTACATTTCTAGACTGCGTCTGGGAAGCCTTGATCATATATACAAATCGGGCAGCCGACAGTTTGTTCTCGTCAACCAAGCACCGCTGGTGCATGCGCCTCAGTATACTGCTCCGGGAACTGCCCGCGGAAACTACAAGCATTGGAGAGGCAGGGCAGACAATATTCAACAGTACACGACAAGTGTGAATACCACATTTGAATATGGAGGTCCCTGCTATTTGCGGGGTTTAATCTTTCTCTTTTAATCTTTAGATAATTCTCATCAATTGACTGGTGTTGTTCAAGTCGCCTTGCCTAGCCGCTATCGTTGTGTATGGTGTAGCTTGTAATTGACTGTTTGACAATCTACGATCCGCGACCCGCTGTGGCTGTGACTATCTCCTAGGGAGCATATAATACGTACATACCTCTCAGCCTAGGGCGCCCGAAAAAGTGGAGAGGTGTGGCTAGTCAAGGCGCAGCGCCCGATACCGCCAATTTGGTGCATGTATGTATGATGTGACCTTCCTGTGCGGCATGTTGGCCTTCTCGCCAGGAAGCTGGCATCTGGTTTGTATGGAATACTGTACGGTAGTAGATGTTGCTTGCGGAATGTTAGGCCGCGCAACGAGTCACGTCGACCTGGTTTGAGCTCAGCACAGACCACCTCGCCGGAGCAAAACCCGCAATGCTCTCTTGAGTCTACGGGACCGGAACTTATAGGTATCCAGGTACCTAAGGTATGGTACAGCATGAACGCCTGGTGGCGGCAAAAGGGTACTGTATTTGACGAGATACTTGATTCTCGAACTGACTTCCGCGGCCCGCAAAGTATCTGTCAAACCTGGCTACTTTGACACACACTGTACGCGGCCAGGGGCTCAAACCTCATCCAGCTCATCGCATCTTCCCGGCTGCACAACATCCCACGCCTCGTGGGCGAAAACAGAGAGGAATCCCGCCTTGCGCTAATGGCCCAGGCAGCCTGGCAGCCATGGATCAGCAGACTTCGACGTCTACAGTTACCGGTAGGTCCGGGCTCCCGCTCCGGACAAGCTGCCTGCTAACTCGATGCCAGTCGAGTATTTTGATCCTCACGATGTCTACAAGCTGCTGGCGCCCGGTCTAGTCCCTCGCCTGCCCCTCCGAAACCTTCATTGGCAGTCGCATGCCGGGCCGATCCGATCCATCGAGACCCTGCATGTCGAGCTGCTCCCCGGCGGATCCAGCTCCGACCCTGCACCCCCGCTTCGCGACGCCGAGAGACCGTCTCGCGACGACGGCTTCCAGAACCAGCCCGTCGGCGGCCAGTCAGGCTCCAGCGAGGCCGCACCCGCCCAGCCCGTGCCCGCGAAAACCCCCGGCAGCCAGCGTCGCCATCAGATCCCCGGCCTGCGCCGCACCCCCTACCTCAAGGTCCTTCTCGTGCGCTGCGATGACAACGACTCGTACAAGGCGTCGGTCCGGTTGGAGGTCCGCGAGTGGCTCAAGCTGCATACTCCGCCATCCGGCAGCTCCAAGAAGAGCAGCAACCAGGAGAAGCACGATGCCTTTGAGTGGCTCATCATCCACGTCGTCATCCCCAACACGGCCGCCGCCAACCAGCCGAGGAGTGGCAAGCTGTCCGACACGGGAACCCCGGAGAAGACGAGTGCCTCGTCGCGGTGGCGCACCGGCTCCTTGCCGCTCCTGGAGAAGCTACGCTCCGACTTCAACGCGTCCACCAAGGGCGCCTCGGACCGCGTGGCCCAGATCCGCATCGGCATCAACGATGTGCCCTACGACATACTCCCCCGCGTCGTACCCGCCGTGCCGTCGGGCTATATGGAAACCAAGCAGGATGCGGAGAACGCCTGGGGCGACCTGGTGGGAAAGTTTAAGACTCTCATTCTCTCCTCCTTTGATCGTCGAGTCACCCAGTACGAGGAAGACATCAAGGAGAAGGACGCCCAGCGCAGCCTACCGGGCTGGAACTTTTGCACCTTTTTCATCCTCAAAGAAGGGCTGGCGAGGGGCTTTGAGAGCGTCGGCCTGGTCGAGGATGCCCTGGTCGGCTACGATGAGCTCGGTGTGGGGCTCGACTCGGTTCTCGACGGACAGGCTCAGACGGGCTCGCCGGAGCGCCACGGGGGTGCGGTTCTGAGCTACACAGATGAGCTAAAGACGCTGGTACGCAAGGCTCTGGCCCCAACGTCTGATGACGGCGGCGATGTCGACGCAGAGGATTTCTCCGGGGCACCTCCCAGAAAAAACTCGCCCGACGACATCAGCATCAGTTCGACCAAGAAGGCGTATCGCGACAGGATACTAGAGAACAAGGTCTCGGTGTTTGACTTTCGATGCTACATCTTCTCTCGACAAATCTCGCTTCTCCTGCGCCTAGGCAACGCATCTTCGACGCGGGAGGAGTTGCTGGCTAAGCTCACGGCCCAGCACGAGTCCGTCTTGCGCGGAGTCGCGCCGCTTGCGCCGCCTATGTGCCATGACAACGAGCCCGAGAACCTCCAGATGCTGGCCGAAATATGTCGGAGGACGCTCGAGTTTATCCCCTTTATCTCGCAGGTTATGCGCCAAGACCTACTCCGCGGGCTTACGGCCGAGACGGGCTCGGAACCGAATTCCACCTCCCTCGATGCACGATGCCTAGATGCAGTAGACAACATTGTCTCGTCGTTTGCGTTCTCGGTCGCGCAGCAAATCCTGGCGCAGACGTCGACCCGGGCGCTTCCTATCCCCTCTACCGCTCTGCCCGGCAATGGTCAGGAACCTAAGGCGCTGATGCCAGAGCCAAAGACCATGATGCATCCGGCGCGCAGCACATCCCTCCGCGCCTCGGCCTCGCCGCGTCGGCCGCCGAGCCCAGGCGTCTTTCCTGGCCCCGGTCGACGGGCTAGCGTCCCGGACGGCGGGGCACAAAGCTCGCAGTTCCTCAAAGTCGGGATCGAAGAGCTGGCTGCTCGGAGGGCCGAGCTCTACATGCTCTCGAGGAGCGTGCTTGGGGGCCTGGGCAAGAGGCGGGGCTGGTCCGACGGCTGGGACGAGGCTCCGATGATTCACGAGCCGGGCGTAGACGAGATGGACGACGTTAGCCTTAATGACGGTGGCACCGCCGCCAATGACGCAAAAGATGACAATTCAGATGACGGTCTGGGCGCCGCTGCCTCGATGGTGGGGATCGAGAGTCACATACTGCGCGCCGCCATGGACGGCGCCGACGAGTTTTACCGGCTATATGAGATTCTGACCGACAAGGCCCTATGGCACCACACAGTGGCAGGCCACCAACACGCTGTCCAGTCCTGCAGGGCCGACCTGGCCGTTCTTAAGGTGCACATAAAGGAGTATAAGGTTGCCGCCGACTACTTTTGCGAAACAACGCTCTTCTTTGGAGGGGACGGCTGGTGCTCTCTGGAGCTTTCAATGCTCGCCATGTACGCCAGGTGCTTAAGCCAGCTGCAGTCCAAAGACGACTTTGTGCGTATCGCTCTCAAACTACTCACTAAAGCATGCGCAGAGAGGGCGCGACTCCAGGACAAGTCAGCACTGTTCCGAGGATCACGGGACACTAGCCACGCCGACAAGTCGCCGCTACATGCCATCACCGGCGAGCTGTTTAGTCTGGCAAAGACGCTCCCGAGCGAGGTTAAACTGCCGCTGGCGAGCGTCTTTACGAACATCCAGCTGGACGGGCCGCCTGTATACCACGACAGACGCGACGCCTGCTCTCTTTTAGTAGCATTGCACAGCTTGCTGCCTATAGACATAACGATCGATGCTGCCCAGCTAAAAGTGGCCAGCATCGATAGTGGACCGTGCAAAGAGCTTGCGTTTGAGAAGAATAGCTTATTCGTCTTGTCTCCTGGTAAGAACCACATCACCTTGGACTGCAACGTAAGTAGGAGATTCGACGTATAATATTAGCCAACAAGCTAACCAAAAGGGCAGTCTATTGTAAGTGGCAAGTTTATCATCAGTCACCTTGGCCTATTATCGAGCAAGTTGTATCTCTACTACGACCAGGACATAAGTCAGCCAAGGGAAGCGGCGGTCGTCTTTAAAGACCCGAAAGTGAGGCTATTCCAGCGCACCGGCGGTCTTGACGTGCGGGCGAGCGCGAGTAAGCATACGTGCCTAGACAAGAACAACGCGCTCGACTTTGAGCTCAGCACTGGGTGGAACGACTTGAAGAGTTGCGAGATCCGCGTACGGCCCGCCACCGGGGGACTACGACTGCTGACGACGGAGGCCAAGTTTGTAGACTCGTCGATGGGGTTTGCCAGGCCTCCCGAGTCCGGCGCATTCTTCCTGGGACCGATGACTGAGGGGACACGTGCGACGTTTCACTTTCCGTACTCTGTCGAGCAGGATGTCGCCAACGTGCTGGCCAAGCTCGAGGTGAAATATGTCACCCAGTCGGGCGAGGCTTTTTTCCTGGCCAAGGCGCTGACGATTCCCGTCTCCCTGGCCCTTGGCGTCAACGTGCAGGACGTCTTCAAGCACCACGCCCTGTTTTCGAGGTTCATTATTTCGACAGCGACGTCGAGCCCCATTTCCCTGCACAGGAGCGAGCTGCTGGACTCGGAGCTCTTTGAGTCTGCATTCGGCGTCCCCCCTCAAAGCGACATCACCGTGTTCCCGAAGCAGCCGGCAAGTCTGCTGTACCGGGTGAAGAGGAAGGCTGGGACAAAGACCGGGAAGCGGTCCGGTAGGACGATGTACCTGAAACTGCACTACAGCGTACTGCAGACCGTGGCCGAGGACGTCATCCGGGAGTCAATCGCAGAGGAGCTGGGACAGACACGACTGGAACAGTACTCGGGCCTGGTGGTGGAGCACGTGCTGAGGGAGGCGAGGAGGGGGCTCGAAGCGCATGACTTTGAGCGGGCCGCCCTGCTGGGGGAGATGACAACGGCCTTCCTGGACGGCATCGCATGGGAGAAGCGCTTCGCGGGGCTCGGGACCGTGCCCGGGTCGAGCGAGGCGGCAGCGGCCAAGCTGGGCGAGCTACTCTGCGCTTGGCAGCGGAAGAACCCGCGGATCGGCCTCGGCACGGGGACGCCGGGCGAGGCGTCATCGCTGCTGATTCCCGTGGAGATTCCATCCCTGTCGGTGGTGCACACGGCGGACATGCGGCTGCACCTACCGGAGCCGGGCCCCGTGCAGGTGGGCAGCGGGGGGGCGGCGACGGTGTGCGTGAACCAGATGGTGGCGGCGACGCTCCGTCTACGGTGGACGCGGGCATGGGACACGGAGACGGCGCAGCGCGACGAGCAGGCGTTTGGGTACGAGGTGGCGGCGCCGGCGGAGGCGTGGCTTCTGGGGGGGCGGCGCAAGGGGCGGTTCGTGATCCCGGGGTCGTCGGCGACGTCGTCGAGGGCGGAGACGGAGGCGGAGATTCCGCTGATGCTGGTGGCGCAGCGCGAGGGGTGGCTGCCGCTGCCGACGGTGGAGATTCGCGAGATGGTGGCGGGCGAGGCGAGCCAGGCGTGCGAGGTGGATTGGCGCAACGTGGGCGAGACGGTGCGGGCGGTCAAGGAGCGCAGGGGCGTCACGGTCAGCCTCGACGCGAGCGGGCCGGCCGGGGGGCCGCTGGTGCTCGAGAGCGAGGGCTTGCTCGGGGGGCAGGATGCGAGGATGGTGGCGTGAAGACGATGTGTCTCGGACGTCTCTCGCTGTTCGGCCTACTTTTGCGCCAAGCGGTGCCATCTAGCGAGGCCCGCGGCTCCCCACTTCCCTTTCCCCCCGGGGCTTGCGATGCCTCGCGCAAGGAATAGAATATTCCACGGCGCGCTATTGAGTGAGACAGGGGCAGCACGCGGCCGTGATGAACCAGGTGGACCGGCATCACGCCGCCGCCTCTTTCGATTGAGCATAAGCGGGCGCATAACCGCTCCTCTCTCTCCCTCACGCCCACTTCCAGACCCCAACTCCGCCTTCCATCCTAGCAATATTTGACCATCTCCCATGCGTAGCCTCCAATTGGCCGGGTTCCGGGACGAGGGAGGAAACAGACAAATGCGCGTGTAACCAAAGAGGGAAAGGCAAGAGGTGGAAGCAGAAGCAAAAGCAGAAGCACAACAAGAGGATGAGGGAGACGGAGAGACCCTTGGATCGATAGTCCCCCTCCTCTTTCGCTAGTCTAGCCTCAATCCCCCTTTGCTTCCTTTTCCCTCCCCTCCGCAGCCAACTGCTCTTAAATATGTACCTACCGGGGGGGGGAACATGGCAGCTCTTCCTCCCCAATTGGCTGTGGGCGTACGGAGTACGGACCCCAAAAAAAATGAAGCAAAACCCTCGTTTTATTTCCTTACCATTTTCTCGGGTCTTGGACAGACCCAGCCATTTGGAAAGGGAGGGGTGGTGTCTTCTTATTTCCTGTCCTAGATTTTTTGTTTGCATGATTTCTCGCCGGCGGCGGGGAACCCTCTCGCTCCCATCGTGCCTCCCTCCACATGAGCTTCAAATCGCAAAAGCACGCGAGCAGGGGCGACAACCTGATAGAGTACCTCATGTCCTGCGGATATTTCCCATGTCAAGATTCATGACCAGTTTCCCAGGATGCTCCCTGGATAGCCCGACGCGCCGGCTCCGTGCCTGTGCACAAGGGCCCAGGCCGACATCCAGGGACCTCGGCAGGGAGACGCTGTACGAGGCCAGAAAACTGCAACCCAGCCTCCCACAATGCCTCTCGACATGCTGTTCCCTTGATGCACCGTCAAGTATCCCCTGGCGGGTCAAGCGTTCGGTGGTTGAATGCTTCATTCAGTGACTGTCTGGATGCTTTTTGGGGCCCCCGACTCTGCCATTTTGCCCCCTTCTACCATGCCTGTCCACGTTAAATCGTCTAGCTGTCCGACTCGGAATATCAGACCAAAAGGCTGACGGAAGGAAAAAGAAACGAAAAATGCCAAATTAGGGGCCACCCTGTACCCTGATCCAATCAACGCCAGATACTATGCGTGCACCGACATGTGGCGTCGCCGACGCCATGGGCTTGAAACAATGCATGGCCCAAGGCCAACAAAGGGGTCTCTGATGCTTCCGAGATGACGGACCTCCGAAAAAAGTAAACACAATACGTGTGAAGTGGGCGTGCGCCGTGGTGCGTCTCCGGATTTGTCCTCGCGTTGGAACCGCGCAAATGAAATGCAAACAAACGAAGCGGCCGTCAGAATTGCGAGTAAAGTACAATGAACGCCCGCTTGTCGCGTGTCGAGAAGCCGAGCTGGCCGCCCTTGCTCCATGGCGAGTAGAAAATAATTATCCGAGCTTGCAAGACATTCGCGTCCGGCGTTTGGATATCATGTAGTTTTCGGATTAATGCAAGTTGAGGACCATGTCTGGCGTGAGGTTAGCTAGGCATCGTGGACTGGCCGCCGTCGGCTGACAGTCAAAACACGCGCCGCTTTCAACGTCTCGCAAGCCGTTCTGGACATCATGGGTATCGTTGGTAAAACATTTGTCGTCTTTGTGTTGTGACACGTAGGCACCGCGTGAGCGCCGCATCGGGTCTGTCCAGCTCATTTGCGGCCTCTGCTGCCGGACGCGGTGATTTTGCTCGTGCTCATGAGGTCGCCAATGTACTTTTGCAGAAACTTGTTGTTGTTGTCGAGCTTGTCGTGTTCTTCGCGAACGGCCTCGATTCGGTTGAAGATGTTCAGGAGGGAGTCCTGCAGGGCTTTTGCGTGTCTGGCGAGGTCAGCATGCGGCACGTCCTATGAGCCAAGGAGGCGTACCGGTGCAGCTCTTCCCTGGCGGCCTTGCCCATCTTGTCAATGTCCTCGCTTGTCCTGCGGGGGCTCATGGCCCTGACGTCATCCGGGCCAAAATGAGACTCGACGGGGCCGACATCGAAGCTGTCGCGCGTCACAACCATGGGGCCGCTGCTGTTGCGAGTGTGGAGGGGCGGGCGTGTAGGGACGGGCTGATGGAGGGCGGGCTCGTTGGTGTCGGATGGAGTGGACGACGAGGACGAGTCGGATCGCTCCATGTTGCTGGAGTTTGCGTTAGAGCCGACGGACCGGGAGTCGTGATGGTCGGACATGGCGCTTTCCGACGAGGTGATGAGGAAGAGGAAGAGGAGAGGTGAGGGAGGGGAGGAAAATACGTGGACAGAGGGTTGGTGCCTCTGGTGGTGGAGTCGGAAAATTAACTTGAACGGGGGGGTCAAGACGAGGTGGGCAAAAGGGTCCCGATGTGGCCCGTCGAGGTGGAGAGTCGTCACCAGCCACGAGCAAGCTGCACGAGCCTAGCCGGGGCCGGAAGGAGCAGAAGCGGCGGGGGGGATTTATCGAGTTGCTGCACGCTGAAATGAAGCTGAAATGAAAAGGGGAAAAGGAAGAGGGGATTGCGAAGTGGGAGGAAGAGGAGGGGGAGTGGATGGTGTTTGTTGTACAGTGATCGAGAAAGAGGGAGGGCAGAAAGAAAAGGGCAGTTGGGATATCAAGGACCGGACGCCGTACAGTGTCAGTGCTGGCTACAGCGGCTACAGCGAGGTACCTGCTGTTGGTGGGGTGCCGAGGCGTGCTATGACGGCACCGGGAGCCAGGGTGGTATGCAGGGTGCTTGTACAGTGTACTTTGGTCCGCTACGGCGACGAGAAAGAGATTAAGATGAGCTGCCACGCCACGCCAGTGCGCACTACTGCTAGTAAGTACCTGTAAGTAGTACCTTACCTATGCTGTACCCGTTGCCGGGGTCCGGGCCGCCTGTACAGTACGTGCAGCACTGGCAGCTCCAGAGGCGTCCGTGGGCAGCACACCTGTAATGACTCGGTTAGAGCATGTGCCAACATACTTACGGATACAGACAGTACTACGGTACAGACACCGTCCGTCTTGCTCTTCCACTTCTAGTGGCGGGCTTCACGGCGCTGCCACCCAACAAAACCTTGCTCATGAGCCATGGCGGGAGGTGCCGTGACGGACATTGTGGAGAAACAGCCCTCTCCCCCCCACCACCACCATTGAGCCATTGTCGCAATGTCGCCGGCCGACAATGGGGACAAGACGATTTGAAAAATGCTCTCCAAGACCAATGCTTGGTGGAGGCCAAGGGCCCCTCGTCGAGGAGCCGCAGCTCGGGTTGTTGCAGCGGCAAAGGCCGGCGCTGCAAAGAGGTTTCCCCTCCCCACATGCCGACCGCCTGAATCCCCAGCAGCGGCGTCGAGTTTTGGGAATGAAAGGGGCAGGCACGTGCCTGGGAACCGCTCGGTGCCTGCATGTTGTTGTGCGCGCGCCCTCTGCTGGACGGGGGGCAACCCTTCGTATTTGGAGAGACTGCGCCGTACTGCACAGGCGGGCACGCTCTACCCCGTACTGTGCTGTACAGTATCCGTACATAGGTACAATGTGCCATGCACTGGCACAGCCAATGGCGTCACCGGCGCCATGTCGCCTGTCGGGACCCTTGATTTCGTTCTCCTTGCACGCACTGTGCCTGCAGTGGATACACGCGAGATAGCATATGGCCGAATCGGGCAACCTGGCCGGTCCGACAGGAGTAATCAAACATACACTCCTGATTTTCAAACATACACTCCCGACCTAAGCCCCATTTGGAAGAAGACCCCGCCACCAAAATTTGGCGCGCGCTTTCCCAACGCCCTGGCTTGCCGTGACCATCGCCGCCGCCCACCCGCCCAGCCACCTGCCTTTTTGGCCGCCATCTGCATTTTCGCAATCATCAACAATTGAAGCTATCACCACTTGACTCAACACAACAGCAACGCCGCCGCCGCCTACCGCAATAGTCACGTCTAGTCAATCGTCCCGATGAATTCGACCGAAAGCAATACCAACAGTAGCACCGAGGCTATCACGGAGATGTCTTTCGATACGTATGATGAGGCGCTTGAAACACTCAAAGCTACGCAAGAGCTCCTTGGCTACGTCGTAGTCGTTGCAAATAGCAAGAATACCGGCAAGCCTAGGCGCAAGGAAGCCAATATCCGCTGTGAATACAGTGGTCAGTATAGGCCCTGGGACGAGGCAGAGGGTATATACAAGACGTCATCCAAGAAGTCGGGATGTGACTTTCGCTGTTACATCCGCTTCTACCGACGTTGCAATGCATTCAAAGTCACCATCAAGCACGGCTCTCATAACCACGAACCTCTATTTGAGCCAATTGCTAACCCCATCGTCCGTCAACGAAGCCAACGCAAATTCGGCATCGAGCGTCTTCATAGCCTCGTCGAGGGCTTAGCAAGAACGTCAATAACAAGAGCAGGGATATCGTGGATGCTATCCGACAGGAATATCCTGAGCTCCTTATTACCGATTCTGATATACACTTCATCCAGCTGCAACTTCGTGCCTTCCGTTACGGCGCCTCTACATCTACACAAGCCTTCCTCGATGTACTCAAAGATGCTAAAGCAAAGGGGAAATCAGCTACTATGCAGTTGACCGTGGCCTAATGGGAAGGTTTGGAGGTTTTTCTGGACATACGATGACTGTATTGCTGACTGGAAGCGTAACCCGAGCTCCTTATCATGGATAATACGTATAAGGTCAACCGCTTTAACATGCCGCTTCTACAGATCATTGGCACAACAGGGCTACACAAGAGCTTCAGTGTAGGCTTTGGCCTCACTGCCAAGGAAGACGAAGGCGCGTTCCAATGGATCCTCTCACAGTTGCGTGAGGCTGGTCGGCAGGCTGATATTCCGGACCCGGGCGTTGTGATTACCGACTTTGATACCGCCCTGAAGAACGCCCTTGACTCTATCTTCCCATCAACGCAACAACAAGTGTGCGTTTGGCATATGATGAAGAACGTGATCCTTCACATCAAGAAGAAGTGGGAAGGATCCCTCGATGGCACCGAGATTGGCGGAGATAGGCCAGAACAGGAGACTCGCCTCGCTGCAGCAGCCGCTCTCGACGACCCTATACAGGCAGATAATGCCATTGACGAGGACCGACCTATCGACCGTGCCACTGATTACCAGATTCAACATGCCTCACAACTGGCAGATCAGTGCGTTGAGCAACAAGATGATCGTGAAGATGACGATGGAAACCCAATACTACCCCGGCTCCAAGGCGGACTTTTGAGCACACAGCTGACGGTATCCGTGATGCCTGGGTTTCAGTCTTTAGGGCTCGCACGGCTGAGGAGTGCAGAGATCAGTGGGATCTACTCTGTATAGAGTTTTCGGATCAGCCAGGTAACCCTAGCCCTAACTACCCTCCTACTCTAACCTTTTACTAAATAGCTCCTCTTATAGCTCTCGTTAATTACCTCCGTACAACCTACTGGCCATGGCGTGCCCAGTTTTCCACCTACGCTATCCAACAGTACCGAAATTATAACATTACGGTAACTTCCCGTGTGGAGAGCACACATCACGAGTTGAAGTCACGATTACGCAACCGCTTCATTGACCTCCATCAGCTACAAGAGCACATCAGAGGGCTCGTTACCCATCGGCAAAAGAAGCATCGCGAGAAGCTTCAATCCGAGTTTGCAAGAGCTAGAGTTGAATGGGCCAAGCAGACGATTATGAAGTCACTGCACCGAAAAATTGGCTGGCAGCCGATGAAACAGATCTTCAGGCAAGTTAGGCTAGCCCGGCTGAGCTTGCCGATAATCGAGGCATGCCTACGATTTGTACGGGTGCTTTCACGATGCAATGGGGGCTGCCCTGCCGGCATACAATCCGCGATTTGATCCAGGCTGACGCGGCCGCCCTTATACCATTGCATCTTATTGATAACCACTGGCGGGTTTACGGCGTGACTGTAAGTATCTTGCTCCAGCCATAAGTACTATACTAATTTACTAGCAGCCTGAACAACAGCAATATATCGATGCAGACCACGAAGCCGATCCTGACGTTGTCCAGCCTCGCCGGCGTGGAAACAGTAGACGCGAGGTATCCTCCACTAGAGGCATCTACGGGCCGGATCCTTAGTGCTTGGGAGCAAGAGGAGCATAGAGCCAACCCAGAGCTCGTATCACGGCCACCAGAGACGCAAAAGAAGAAGAGGAAGGGCACAGGCACCACTATCATGAACAAGAGGTCGAATACACTTGCTTCCGTGAGCAGCCGGGTTGACGATCTTGCCCAGCAGATCGGTGATTTCATCAAGTCACAAGCAGCAGCAACGCCGGTGCTGTTATCACAGGTGCCCTCACTTCCACAGGTGCCGCTGGTGTCACAGGGATACCAAACGACGATGCCCTCACTTCCACAGCCGGCGCCGCCGTCACAGGGATACTATGTGATGCCACCGCCTACACCAATTGTGCCTGTATACGTACAGGCGCCGGCGCCGTCACAGTGGCAGAACCGCCTCCTCGTCACAGGCACATCACGACGGCTTCATGTGGGCACAGCCGCCGGCACAGTCTCACGAGACGGCTACGGAGCATTTCCAGCAGCTAGGGGATCAGAGGACACGGCACCATACAAAACTAGCAGGCAGGCCGGTCACAAATTCGTTCCTTACGTGCCTCGCCCTCCGCCGCGTCGGACGGATCCTTCCTCACAGTCACAGTCACAGTCACAGAGGTAGGCAAAGACCTTCCGCCATTATATGCATATTGTATATATATCGGAAGATCGATCGGGCCGGGCTTATTGATAGCTTCAATTGAATGACTCTAAGGGATGCATCTTCCGGCGTTGGTAATAATTGCAGATAGAATCCATATATGTCAGACAATAGTGTCCCACACCTCGCACGTGACAGCGGTTGATCTTTGTGGCATCAGTCAATTGATGAGAATTATCTAAAGAACAAAGGAAAGGAAAAGAATTGGATGCACACATTCGTGCAACAATATATACCCCGATCATTGCGGCGAAGCCTGGCGCAGCAGTGGCAGTGATCGAGCATAAGGTTTCAGGAACTGACACGGGCGTGATATGCGACAATATATCTAGGCAGGCAGCCGCGGCAGCGGCGTTGGGAAAGCGCGCGCCAAATTTTGGTGGCGGGGTCTTCTTCCAAATGGGGCTTAGGTCGGGAGTGTATGTTTGAAAATCTGGAGTGTATGTTTGATTACTCGTCCGACAGCGCCCAAGGTTTGCAGCTGCTCTTGCTGATCATGTCATTCTTGCCGCTCAGAGTTTTCCCCTCATGTCCAATGACGCCTTGTAGCTGTACTCGCGCCCACACCAGCCTCCTGCACGCCCCCGACGTCGCTGGTACAAGAGGTGGCTGCCCAAGGCCGTAGCGTCATGCACCGGCAGTGGGGCGGTCCCCTTGTCATCGACTTCATTCCTCTCTCCGTCCAGGCGGACCCCAAGCACAGGCCCCGAGCAGGCCCCGAGCAGCAGCCGCCTTTGGGCACACGGCGAGGAACCAAACAGCCCTCACCACCACGCAAAAGCCTCCCGGCAACAGGCGCGCAACCGCCACGTCTCACCTCTCAACCCCGAGAGGTCCTGCGGCCAAAACGACGAGACGGGGGTTCGCTTGCACCGCATGGCGCCTCATGTGCCCAACACGCCGTGCCTCGAGCCTCTCGAATCCTGCCAGCAAGTGGGTTGACAAGTTAGGGGACAGACAAAGCAAACCAAAACCCAACGTCAAAGGAGCTTAGCCATTGGCTGACCAGCGGCGATCCATGACATCAGGCTGTGTGGGAAAACACGACGGAGAAAAAAGGGGCCCTCAACGGCTTGCCTGTCCAACGATGCCGAAGCATATCACCAGCTTGCCCAGCCGCCAATGGCATGAAGAAGCCGATCCTTTCGCCCCCATTCGTGTGTGCACGGGACAGGCAACATTGACGACAATGGGCGTCGAGGTACATGTGCCACCTAGCCGCCGGCCACTCACACCCCTTTCCGGGCCTCGGCTGCACTCGTTGAGACTCACGGCCGTGTCTTTGCCTTCCCCCTACACATGACTGATACGCGGCACGGCAGAGGCTAATGATCGTCGCCGCAGACTGGACGGCGGCTGGCCAACGACGAGCACAAAGGCGTCTTTCTCCGACGCGGCTGCACATGCCCCAGGCAGAAACAGCACCAGGGCTTGCCTTTTGATGCCCATTCAGTCACTGGCTGGCTTGCGCACTGCCACACGCGGCGGGCACTGTGCCTCGACCAACACACATACATACGTCATGCCTGGCCTCGCTTGTTCTGCTCACAAGGCGGCTCGCGCCCCGTCTCCCGTGAGTGCCACAGGGTCGGCAGCCCGCAGTCCAAGCCCTTCGATTGGCCTTCTAGATGGCCCGTGACCGCTGTTGAGCCATCTGGCGGCTCCGGGCTTTTGTCCAGAGTCTGTCGCTGCTGCTCAAGTCGTGCCCGGTGTAATTATTTACATACATACATAAGTGGTACGGAGAGTAACACCACGACGGCCGTTAGGCCAGGTGCTCGCTCACTGGCCTTTCTCCGGCTGCCTGTGTCACCTACCGCCGCGCCCAGTGCTACGCCGGCTAGGGAAGGACGAGGGCCATCTCGACATGGACGGGCCGATGGGGAAAGAGGCGTCGCAAAGCTCAACCGGCGAGCAAGTATCGGTACCAAGCGGTGCTGTCCTTGGTCGCCCTTGATTCCCAGTGGCCTGATTGTGACAGTAGCCAGCAGCCAAGTCTCCTCGCTACTGCACTTTAAACCCTAGGGGTAGACGGACACGCTTCCAGCACTGTATGCTGTAGTTGCAAAAGGCCCAGGGCCGCCGAGCAGAGTGGTAGTTTCCTCTGGCGTTGTCCCTTGTTTGAATGTACAGTACGTCCTGCACCGCGCGCTTCCCAGGCTCGTCACGCGTGCCTACGTCTGCCGTCTCTATACAGTACATGTAGCACTTGTTTATAGCCGCAGGGCCAGCAGCGACGTGCTGGCCCCCCTCCTCTCTTCTGCCTGCACACCGAGAAGGCATAGGATGGGATGGTAGGTATTCCAAAGCAGGAGGGGTCGTCTTTGGGCCACCATCTTCATCGTCTTCTCTACTGTACCGTCCTCCCAACCGCCCCTCCTTTTCCTGTCGTCTCCCAGCTCCGATAAAGTACTGCGGATACCGTAAGCAAAGATGATGACGATGACGGTGATGATGAAGATCAAAAAGACGATCCAGGCTGAGGACGAGGCATCCGAAACAGAACCTGCTTGGCCAATGTCCTGATGCGCGGCCCAGGCGTTTCACCGACACTTCACTTGGATCCTGATGGACGCATGTACATACACACACACACACACACACACACTTTTTTTTTTCACTCACACCTCCTCGCTCACTCGCTCGCACACGAGGCACACGCACACACGCAGGAGATGTCTACTGTGTGTTGGCTATGTGGCCGAGATCGACGGGGAGGGGGACCGGGTGAGGCGCTTCGGTGCTGACACAACACCACACAACACCACACAACACCACACAACACACACACACACACACAGGGTCCCCTGCGCCTGAGATGAGAGAGAGAGAGGGGTCCGCCGTCTGTCTTCGAGGGCAAAAGTCCTTCTTCGCCATGTCGCCCACAACCCGAAATGCGCCGTGGCCGCATCCACTCTCCCGGATGCCCATCACCCTTTGGAGCGCCCACCTTATTTTCTACAGTACGCACATACTGTCCATACCCAGCATATTCGTACCTGCTACTACTCCGTAAATCCCATAGTAATCACAGTTCATCAGTTGAAACAGCGCGTCTCCGTGACTCGGCCACATGCCGGGGGGATCGGCGTGCCGACGCATCAGCAAAGGAAAAACACACGCAACAGATCATCACGACGATCAGCGAGACAACAAGGAAGGAAAGAAGCAGACACCAAGAAAAGGAGAAGATGGGATGATGAGCGCGCGCCAACAAGAGGCGGCACTGGCCCCTGTTTTGCCAACTCCACCAGAACTCACTCTTCTCCGACAACGTTGTCTTTGCTTCCCCTTTACCTGCTTACTTTCTTTCTCTCGGCCCGGCGGCTTGTGCCTCGAATCTCATATTCCCATCGTGTACATTACTCCCTGACTCCTCACCTCGTGTCCCACCCCCCCCCCCCCCGGATCTCGCTTCCCCCTTTCTTCTTTCATCACCACCCCACAGCGCCAGAGTCATGGCGCCGAGACGTGAGCTGATGCGCGACAGGGAGAGCACAGAACGAGCACCTGTGGGCCAACTCGCCGCTGCTCGCCTCCTTGTTTCCAACCTCGACCCGGCACCGACAAGGCGCAAGGCCACGCCTCGGCATACCGTCACACTGCCGGGCAGCCAGGGCGCAGGGCAGTAAGCAACCCACAGGACATGGCCGAGTGATCGGCCCCCCCAATGCAGGCGCCGCTGGGAGAGGAGCACGATGATGCAATGGCCTGGAATCCGGGTCCTAGAGGACGAGAAGGAATCATCGAGCCTGACGGCGAGTCCATCCGTTGCAAGCGGTGCACCTCAAATCAGGCAACAAGGCTGGGCTAGGACATCGGATGGGGGACTGCAGCGGAAAATGGCAACACGCGTGCAACGAAGCTTTGTCAACCCAGTCGATTCCCTCCCGCCCAGCAGCCCGGCCATGCCCAGACGCACCGCCATCAAGCATCTTCAATCGTAAACTTGACAAGCACCGTGCAACCCGTCTCTCCCCCCTTCATGTCCATCATATTGATCATAGTCCAGCCAGGCTCCGCGTATAGGAGGCGCACCGCCGCCGCGGCAATCATGGGGTTCTTGGCCCACGCGTCGTCACTCTTGATGAGCATGCGCAAAAATACGAGCTCATTCTCCTCGTACACCCACTCGAGCGTCTCGTCCCAGACCGGATCGATGGCTGGGGGATTTTCGCCCCTGTGCAGCATGCCCAGCCTGTGGTGTTTGTAGGGCGACGTCTTGCGCTTGAACGTGTCGCCCTCGATGGGGCAAGGACTGTAGAGATTGCACGTCAGGTAGGGCTTGATTGAGTCGGCCTCCCGGTCCTCGTGCAGCGGAATACCCGTGGCCCCCGCGGCGTGCAGGCGAAGCCTCTTCATCCGACCCGTGCCGAGCTTGCCGTTGCCGCCTGCGCGAAGGGCGGCGGGCTTGAGAACATAGCCGTCGGAGCCGCTGAAGAGGGCGTCGTTGAGCTGGTTGCTCGTGCCAAAGGATTGCCAGTTGAGGGCGCAGATCTGGGCGCCGATACCCCAAAAGGCCACGGGCTTGAGATTTGAGGACGAGATGCGGGTTCCCTTGGGATAGACCCGCATCAGGTGGTGGGCGTTGTGCTTTGCGATGGCCGCGGCGTTGGCCGGTAGATGTTTCGATAGCCCGGACTCGGAGACGTTGATGAGGTGGTGATGCGGCCCGTTGAGCAGTCCCGCTACGTCGTACCAAGAATTGTCAGTCGGTTTTATGGACTGGGCGTAGACCCCGAGCTCAGCAAGCTCCGGCATGATGACGCTGCACGGTACGGGCTTGTCGCCTTTCTTGTCTCGTGCTGCATCGCCAGTGGCCCCTTCTTCCTCGGCGCTGGATGAGTCGTCGGAGAAAGAGTCGCTGTAGTTGGCTTCGCCGGGAATGTGATACTCGACAATGACTGTGATGCGCGGGCCAAGCTCCGCCAGGGTGACATGCTCACCCGAGCCCTCTTGTTCGCGGTGGCCTTCCCGACGGACCGCTTCGCTGAGTAGACGGTCGCCAAAGACATCCTTCATGATCTGAACGAGGCGCAGCTGGCCGTGGTCTTCGCAGTGATTCTCCAAGGATAGCAGGATGGGAGCCACGGGGTAATCGGGGTCGCGTGAGGCCAGGTCGATTTCCTCGTCAAAAGCCTGGCGGATCGTTTCGCAAACGGCCCGAAACGGAATGTGGGAGACGAAAGTGTAGCCATGGGTGACCTTGGGCTCGTCCGGGTCGTTGCTGTTGTCCCAGGCATCAATCTCGACGCACCGGGATCCCATCCTGAGGGCAGTCTCGTATGCCTTGGCCGACGACGTGCCGTAGAGCTGGTGTGCCATCAAGTACGTGTTATGACTGGAGCTGATGAAGTATTCCGGTAGGGGGTGAGAGCGGACGAGCAAGTGGTCTGGCACGGTAAAAGACGTTTTGCCGAGCATTTTGCGCAGAACCTCACATTGGTCACGCGCGTCTGAGCTCACATCGTCGTCTGACATGACGCCGTGCTTGGCAAGGAAGGTTTGAAGGGCATGGCTGACCCTTAGTGGCTCCTCGTCCTGCTCGGTGCGGCGGTTAGAGCGGCCGCCTCCGCCGACGCTGTCGACGCCGAACTCCTCGCCTCTGTCGTCGTCCTCTTCGCTTGCAGAATTCGAAAACGGGTTCAAGGTTGCCATACGCGACGAAATTTCGGCCATTGTTGCTTGGAGGCGAGGCGCAGGGCACGGGGATGAGTGGACGCTGCGAGGCTGTGTCGAGAGTGAGGGTGCTTAGGTCTGCCTGGGCACGTGGTGTATGCGCGACCTCTTGCTATGACAGAGGCGTTGTCGAGTAAAGGTCGAGAGCGTGCGATGCAAGCGTCGACGCGATGGCTGCAGCAACGAGAGGCGAGAGTACGAGACGGTGAAGATGATGTCGAGGAACGGCCGAGATGGCGGAGCGGGAGTGCGTCATGTGTGTGGGTGGGGTCGCCTGGAAGCATCGCCACACTCTGACCGGCTTCTAACTCAAAACGAAACCCGAGGGCGGATGCTGGCGCTTGTCGGGGCCATGGCGGTGGCGCAGTTGGTTTTGGGGGCTCTCTGGTGACGGGAAGCCTTGTGTCGCGACATTGTTGGCGACGGTTTCGCGCAACGGATGAAGGCCTCTCGACATGACGGGACGCATTTGACAAGCCGAGTCCAAGGCAATCGTATGTCGGGCACCTTTGAAGGAGAGGGCGGGAGGGGAAACGAGGAGCAAGCGAGAGCAGTCGACGAGGAAAGAGACGAGGGCGGAACGGCGTCGGCTCCGGTCCCGTGACCTGGGACAAGGTCTCCAGCACAGGGCTTGCGCACGTGATGATGCCACAGGCTGACGAGAGACATGAAAGATGAGCGTTGCTGTACGAATTATGTACGGTATGTACATACATACAGTATTTGCGCACGCTTCAGCACATTTCCAATGCTGACGGCATCCTGCAGGAACCGAGAGCCGCAGCTCGGTGACAGCCAGGGAGCGACGATGATTGGGCGAGAGCACGGCGCAGCGCATGTCCAAGACCAGGGGACCAGGCTCTGGAAAGAGCACTGCGTTGAGATCATCCATCAATTGTTGCTGAACTGGAGTGAGTACATGCATGTGCGTCGCAGTTGCGGGCACCTGTAGAGCCGTTTAACTAACTACCTGTTTTAGTACGAACCGACATCGTCTTTGCCAAAGCTGAATTGTGGCTTCAATTCCACTTGCTTCGCCTAGTCTTACATAATCACAGCGGCCCGTCCACTCAGCCACTCTGCCGCCCCACGTGCCAGAGTCATGTGACTCCAGCTTCCCACCACCCACCTTTTGTCGTTTCTATTTTTTCCCACTCGCCCTGCTCTCTCCTCCTTTCTCCCTCATTCAAAATATTGAACAACGCAAAACAAACGTCCATGTTCCCCAACTCCCCAGTTCCGGCTTGAGGCGCGCGTCCCACGGGGTGCAAGCGCCCACGACGGCCGGGCTCGCCGGGTGCGGGAACCCAGGACGGAGAAGGATGAGGGAGCCCCCTCTGCGCGCAATCTTGGGTGCGGTGCTTCCCGGGCCTCTTGTGCCGTCGTGGGGAGGATCGCAATGATTGAACGTACATGCCATGATGCCGTCCGTCGTGAACCGCTGTCGTCGGCAGTCTCCGCTCGCGCCACCGCACGTCATGCTCTGGACCAAGGGGTCAGTCTTGTGCACCAAGGTTTGATTCACCATCGTCTTCATCAATTGACTTTCGCTTCCTTCCTGATATACTATGGTTACAAGCATACGTCCTTCGTACATCCATGCACGTTTCGGCAACGGGCCCGTGATCCCGTGCCCTGCAGTCGCATTGCCGTCCTGCCCTAGCGCCCCATTGTCCGTGATTACCCAGGGTATAAAAACGCGCTGCGAGGCCTCGAAGAGCCCTGAGCTCGCCATGTCGTTATGGCAAGAGGGTCGCCAGCTTGCGGCGAAAAGAAGTATAAAGCATGAGCATCATGCATCAGTGGTCGTGGCAGGCGTGGCTCGCGTAATCCGACTTCCCGAGTCGTCGTTTGCGGTTGGTCTCTCCCTCCTGAGGATCAAGACAATAAACAGATAAATGAAACGGACTTGGCCGCAGAAGCAATTTCCTTCGGCCGCCGGACTAGGAAGAAAAACGTCGGGTCTCATCACCACCGCACGCCCGTTCGCAAACTTGTGAGTGTGTGTAGTGGCACGGTGCTGGGCACTCCGGATCGACAAGCTGCTGTCGATGGCGTGAACGGGCTCGAGGACGCCGTCTATTCGAGTGAGGATGTGATTCTGCGCGCGACGGCCTGGATGGCGTCGACGTCTCGCTTGGACGCCTTACACCGATCCTCAGGGCGGAGGCATCCAGCCTCATGCGTGTCCACGAATGTTGTCGGATCCCCGTTCAGGCCCGCCGCCTTGAGCACGACTTCCGCAGCCTGCTTGGCCCTCCAGCACAAGTTTCCGGGATACCAGCAGCTTGTGGCGTCAGTCTCGTGTTTCTTCTTGCCCTCGCCGACGCTCGAAAGATCCCGCTTCCAGCACAACCAGCCGCGTCTCCGACACCATGGCTGAGGGGCAGCCTCGCGTTTGTCCCTGGTGCCTCCCTCGCTAGACTTGGTCTCAAGCCCTATACCCAGTTGTTTGAGAAACTCTTCTGGGTCGTCAGCCTTCAGGGCCATCAAGGTTGCAAGTTCGCTGATGCCTCTTTTGGCCGTCTCGGCGGCCGCGCTTTCAACGCTGCTGGGCTCGTCACGCGCCTCCAAGAGGGCGTCGACGGCCCCTTCGACCCTTAGGCAGGTCAACTTCTGGTCACTGCAAGAGACACTGCCTGCAGAATGCGGTGCGGCCAGGGCGCCGACGGTGAACATTGCCATGGCGGCGGCGGCGAACTTCATTTCGGCTGTTGGATCAGAGGCCAGCCAGCCCGTCAATGGATTTTGATCAGGATAAGAATATAGTCGTGCTTAAGGGATCGGGTTTGGACAAAGCGATGATTGCCGATGGAGACTCTGAGAGTACCACGATCTTGTGGCAGCATCAAGAGACTTCTTATCAACCTCAAAGGAGATGAGCACCGTGCCAGGTACAGACAGCTCGAGAGTCGAAGCCTTGACCAAGCTGAAAGCCGTGGGTGCGCCATCGTCGGCTGTTTGTCCTATTGACAGAGGTGTCAATAAGCCATTACCCCGGGCTGAGGGGACGGGGTCGGCCGAGGTCGCCACGTCTGCACACCACACTCAACAATCTTCTTTGTCCTGATCCGGGGTCCATAGGGCCCTTGAGACCTACGGCCGAGAGCCATGGTGGAGTTCCTGAGGCACCATGGACTTGATGAGCGCCACTGGCAGCTCTCGTTCCCGCGGGGTACGCTGATGCATGACGAGAAGGACTCCACGAGTGGAGCTGAACACATTTATCAATAAGACGGATGCTAGTTGGCGAGGCAGGTGCTTGTGCCTTCCCAGTGGCATGTCTTGTCGGTGCCCCGGCTCACCAGTTGGCCGCGTAGAGCCGACGGATGCGCGGTGGCCAAGGGGGATTTGGCCTCTGTCCTTGGAGTGGCAATGATAGACTGTTTGGCAAAGAGCCCAAGCACCGAAATGAAAGGCAGGCCCGATTTCAGCGTGATGTGGCGCGTGCGTTTTCCCAGGGCGTGCTGAGATGTCTTGCCCCTTTTCTGCAGGTTGGTCCGTGTATTGAGGCTCTATTCAGGACCAAAACGGGTATCGCGTGCCTGGCCGCCAAACATCTCGACCCGCAAACGCAACGAGGGACTCGTTTTTGACGGCACTTTCGAGGCTAATTGTCCAATTTGTCTCCAATTTGCTTGATCTATGCCGAACGGGCCCGGTGGCGTCACTCACGTGAGCTTGAGTCGCCTTGCAATGGGCCCTTAGCCGCGATTGAGCATGTTCCATCTCGGCGCCAAACCCTCACCTTAGAGCCTCGGCTAATCGCAAAGCCCTGGATCTCCACGCGGTACGTAGAATGCCGCCTCTTGTTGGGCCAAGGGCGTCTTGGCGGCGAAGTGGCGCAGGCCAGGCCAGGCACAGCCAAGGCAGTTGGTGTCGTTCCACCATGCAAGTGTCGGCAACAGGCTCATCCGATAGACATCTCGAGCTGAGCAGTTGCGCGGCCCTGTACTTTCAGGTCGTTCCCCGCGTGACGTGACAATAGGCTGAACAGAAAGGCCGGGCCCGGTCGCCACCCTCGCCCAGCTTGCCTCTTCGGTCATGCACGAAAAAGATGAGGTTATTCAACTGTCCATCAACCACCCCTGCTTCGTGTACAGCGTGAGGGTCCCGCAGCGGAGTCGACGACTGGAGAAGAGCCTGGATTTGGCGATGGAGAGGGGCGGCAAAGAGCAGACGAATTTCATCCAGCACAATGAGGCCGACCCTGGAACGTGCGTTCAACCGGGTAATCTGCGACCGTACTATTCGACAGGTAGATCAACGGCTGCCCTGGTTTACCTCGAGCTTTGGGGGACCAGGGAGGCCAGCGAGCACAATCTGGCTATTTGCTCCATCTCGGACAGAGGGAGGCGAGTGACTTGAAAGCGTCCTTCAGCTGGAGGGAGGACGGTTGGTGTGGGTGGGTAGTGTTTGTGTTGTATAAAGATTCAAAGCCGTGAAACAAAGAAGCTGATCTTATTGAACACCCGAACAGGAAGGACGGAAGGCCCCCTCTGGGACAGGACCCGTGTGGGTACAGGGGTGCCATCTGCGAAAGATCGCAACAGAATCTTCGACCATAGCATTAACCTCCGAGAATGCAGATGCCAAGTTATGTCCAATGCTGTCCACGGTCCGATCGAATAACCTTTCAGGGTGGACCTTGGCTAGTATAAGCTTCGTCATGCGCAAGCATGATGCCATGCCAGTCGGGCGATCCAGTTGCTGCCCCAACGACAACAGTGCCTGTCCCTTGTGCCTTGCGCCAGTTGCAACATCCGCCATGTTACCCAAGCTCGAAGACGGAACGTGTGAGCAAGCATATGCCGAACTATGGCGTTGTGCCCAGTTGGATCTCCATCATTGGGATTTGACCCGCATTTCCAGGGCAAGCGTCAATTGGCGCTGAGTCGTATTCAAGCCTCCGCATCGCCCAAGTTCGACAGTCATTGACACAAGTGTAGCTCAGATCGTCGGTGTACTGAGTCAGGACCGACAGCAAGATCTTGTTCCTCTGGCGCCTGGTCGACAAAAAGATTGAAGCCCGTCGGAGAGCGTGGCGCCGAGTCGTAGCAAGGCCTGCACAAGAGATGCAGAGTCTCGCTCCAGGCTATGGTCAAAATGCCGAGGAGCAGTGTGATTACGCTGGCCGAAGGATTGGCTCCAATTGCAGGGCCAGTCCACGGATTCGGAGCAACCAAGTTCATGAGGCGCCCCGGGGTCTCGGCCACCTCGGGCGGCTTTGCGTGGACGGGCCATATCTTGGGTGCAGGGCCAGTGGACCAGCCCGACACGACTCACGGACAAGGACATACGCGAGCTTCTCATGAGGCCTGCAGATTCAGGGAGCCTCTGAAGCAGAGTCAGTTCATGTATGCAGTATCGTCTGCCGGATTCACCTCGGCCTCGGCCAGCGTGCCGTCCTGAGCACAAAGGGGATGTTGGACCGCTCGGAGCCCGCTTCGGAGACGAGGACGACGGCAAAGCATGATTCAAATTTCAAAGAACGTCGGCAAGCATTTCATGTCATGTTGTTGCGAGTGTCAGGACAGGGTCGCCCAAGATTGCAACAACCACTGTCCAGCCAGCGGTTTCTGTCCGCCCTGGGGCTCCAGGAGGCCGTCATCTGGTCGACGTCGGCAAAAGTTGCGTGGTCGACGTTGACCAAGCTTTGCTCACGTGCCGCAGCATCGGCGCCCCGCCTTTCGAGGCATCACGGAACAAAGGCGATGCGGCTTGCCTATGCCAAGTATTAAAGTAATTACTTTTATTACCAGCTTTATAAAGTTTGTAACTCTGCTGGGACTAATCCTATGTTTAATTGTTTAATTGAATTTTAAACGTTCAATGGATATTGAATTCCCCAGGGCTGATACCATAAGAGATCATGTGCGCATGTGTTTCTATTTGCCTCTTCTACCGTATAAGAGGGCCTGCGTTAACCGGCATACAGGTTTAGATAGATTGCATGCACCGAAGTACCTTTCCTAAGAAATTCCTAGCAAAAGTACTTTAAGTAAGAACTTTTATATAAAATTGATCTCGATCTGCAAGGTGCCGGGTCTTCCGTCTGAATACACCTGAGGATGATCGGACGAGATATCATACATCATGAATTGGCCGGGCTGCATTGACCTTGGCTTGCCGAGCTCGGTTCCCTGGAGAGTTAGTTCTAAAGGAAATCTCCAACGACATGTGCTTAATAAATTTGGAGTGTCCATCGATGCCAACTTGCAACACTCTTGATCCGTCATGCAGCTTTCCCGTGCTCGATAAAGCTAGGAATTCATAGCCTGGTTCGGTGCTGTCTGATGTCTTGGCCTCGGTAGCCATCGGAGATTTCCTGGGCGATTCTCGAAAAGGCACGACAAAGTCTGTTCCAACAAGTGGATAGCGTGGAAAACCTCGTGGAAAATGCGAGGATGTTCCCCGGCAGGCTTCCCCCCGCTTGACTGCTAAGCCACGGAGGTACAACGATTATTATAGAGAAGCCGTTATACCTAGTGACCCGTGGTCCTTCTGACGGCTGACTGTCATGCATATTGAATGGTTATTCTGGAGAGACTATTCCACCTTTTGCAGGAAACACTTACTTAATAGAGATAGGCCCACTTCTATAATATATAAGTAAATTTGCGTTTAAATAATTGCTGCTAGTATATATATTATAAATAAAAACCGCCGATAGTTAATAAGATAATCTTTTAAATAGTCTATAAAGGTAATAACTACTATTAATTTAATATATTTAAAGCTAGATATAAAGCTTAAGAAAAGGATATATTAGTTAAAAGGGCTACTATAAGTGCTATATATATATATAGTACTTTAGGGCCTAGACTATCTATCTTCCGTCCTCTAAGGGCGGGAGCCTTAGCGCTTATAGCGCTTTAGTTAGTGCGCTACGCATAGGGACTACTCCCTATTACGCCCCTTACTTATTACTAGCGGAGGCCTAACGGTTATAATTAAAGAAGTCCTAGTTTAAGCCCTTAAGCACGGGGAGGGACGAAGTATTTAAGCGGGAGATATTAAAGGCTAATAATATAGCTCTATTAAGGAGAGTAGGTATAAGAGGCTATAAGTTATACCTAGTAGACCTAATAGTTATATATAAGAAAGCTTGCCTAACTAATATAACTCCCTTAGCCTAAGGATATTATATAGTCCTAACTTAGGTATAGGAATATCTTAATACCTTTTTTTAGCTAGCTATATATAGTTACTATACTTATATAAGCCCCTCCCTTATCTTAATAGATAAACTAAGATATATATTACTAAATTTACCTTTCTATGCCCTTATTTCTTTTACTATACTCTTAAGCCCTTACTTAAGAGTTATAAGCCCGGTCTATATAGCTAGATTATCTTTTACCCGCTAATATTACCTTTAAAGCTATTTATAAGCTATTAACGCTATTATAACGCTTAAATTATAGTATTAAGGTAAGGAACCTAGCTATACTAAGGGGTACTACTAGAAATATATAAATTATAAATTATATATCCCTTAAAAAAGGATATTACTTATTAAGCTAGAACCTTTATTTTTCCTTAGATAGTATTAAAGGAAGTAAAAAGAGATAATTATATTATAAGATTAAGGGAAAGCCTTAATTAAACCCTATAAATTAAAGGGATTAAATTATAGGCCTAGACTTATAAGATTTAGGAACATATTAACCTAGATAGTATAAAAGAGCTTAAATAGCCTTAAT